TCTAACACCCCTCCCCTCCCTCCCTCCCCCCTCTCTCTCTTCCCCTTATCACACTCCCCTCTCGCTCTGCCCTGTTTCCTTTCACACCTTTATCAATGTTCGTCTCCTGGCTGGGTACCTGCAGCCTGGTTCACACCATCACCTGGGCCAGCAGGTTGTCTCTCACCAACAATCTTTTTTTCGTCTTTTCTTCCTACACTTTGTTTCCTCTTCCTCTTCTTCCTTCTTCATGTCTACATTTAATCGTCGTCTCAGTTCTAGTTTTCTTGGTACTACTACTGCTACTTTTACCATTCTTGACATATATCTTTCGAACGTTTCTCTCACCACCTCTTCCTTCCTTCCTTGAAGGCCTCAACGCCCCTTTCTCACAACCCATACTGCTCCTTAGTACCCATTAACCCCCACAACTTTTCAACCATATCTGCAACCCTCCCTCCCCGATAAAAAAAAATACTCATTAGCATAGCCCTCACAACCGGTTCCAACACCCCTCGTCATGTCAGCTTCCCGTTTACCCTGCCACTCAGAGTAAGACCTGTTAAAAGAAGCATAATAATACTAAACTCCCTTAATAAAGACAAACTGTCATGAACATTAACTGCATTTTGAGGGGAAACTTCAGCAAAATTCTAATATTTTTTGTATGAAGTTTAAACCTTCATATTCCGCAATATTTTCAATTTCTTGAGTTTCCAGACCATTTTCTTTTTTTAGGAAATTTCAGTTCCACTAAAATCAAGATATTCCTGATAACAAATCATTCAGAGTCGAGTAGAAGGGCCTAATATAATATCTAGGTTACAAAAGCTCTTCCTAGGCTGTCAAAGTCTCGCTAATTAGTTAAATTGGCTTCTAGATGCATCAGCTGATTAGCGCATCTAGATAAGCTAAACAGAAATGAAGTGGACCACACAAGCTATCAGTTAAGACTCCTAAATGTCTCTCGAGTAGCCAGTAATTAACAAATGATTAAAAGGCGAACTACTAAATGGCTGGAAAGTAGCACAGGTCACGGCAAGTGGTAAGAAAATATACGTGGAACTATAGTCCTGTCGGACATTAATGCCAGGCGAAGCAAGCCACTCGTAGCGTGAGTACTGCGACTCGTGTAATCTGTAACTGGGACCGGGCCGCGGAGGCGATGAGCCTTCCCCCTCCCTCGAAATTGACTAAGTGTTTTATGCGGCTATGCATGTGTCTTATCATAGTGTGGGTATCACGTACCATTATCGAACACCGTGATGGTATCACGTACTATTAGCCAACAAGGTAGTGGTATCACGTACCACTATCCAACAATGATGGTTTCAAGCAATATTAACCAACAAAGTAGTGGTATCACGTACTATTATCCAACACTGTGATGGTATCACGTACTATTAGCCAACAAGGTAGTGGTATCACGTACTATTATCCAACATGGTATCACGTACCATTACCTACCCACGTAAACAACATACTTGGGAAAAAACTGATGTACATTATACCAGAAGATATCAGGAAGTACTGTTGGAACAAGTGTAGAAAGAAGTCTTAAATAGGAAACTCGACAAGTTCACCCCCCCCCAAGTGCCGGATCAATCAGGCTGTGATGGATATGGAGATCAGTGGGCCGCTAGCAGCAACAGTCTAGATGACCAGGAAAGCACCAGACAAGCTTGGCCCAGGGCCGGGCTGTGGGAGTAGGAAAACTAAACCCATCAGAGGTATATCAAAGCTAGAAAGAGCCTGAGGTAGGTCCCAGCAGCTGCTGCCTACGTGAACCCAGTATTACAGGCAATTGGGGTATACATCATAACCCAGCCACACTACAAAACACTTACACCTAACAACAACCATATAACACAACACAACCATATAACACAACACAACCATATAATGCAACAACCATATAACACAATATAGCCACATAACCAGAGCCACATAACACAACCACAACACAACCATAACAGCACGACAACATAAGAACATAAGAAAGGAGGAACACTGCAGCAGGCCTGTTGGCCCATACCAGGCAGGTCCTTTACAATTCATCCCACTAACAAACATTTGACCAACCCAATTTTCAATGCCACCCAAGAAACAAGCTCCGATGTGCAAGTCCCTCTCAAATCCAGCCCCTCCCACTCATGTACTTATCCAACCTAAATTTGAAACTACCCAAAGTCCTAGCCTCAATAACCCAACTAGGTAGACTGTTCCACTCATCAACTACCCTATTTCCAAACCAATACTTTCCTATGTCCTTTCTAAATCTAAACTTATCTAATTTAAATCCATTACTGCGGGTTCTCTCTTGGAGAGATATCCTCAAGACCTTGTTAATATCCCCTTTATTAATACCTATCTTCCACTTATACACTTCGATCAGGTCTCCCCTCATTCTTCGTCTAACAAGTGAATGTAACACAACGCAAACACAGGCAAGACCTGAGAGAGTATAATAAAGAGCGTCTAGACTTACACTTACGTTATAAACACCACGAAGAAACATCTTAAGAGAGTCTTGTAGTCTCCAAGGAAACATACATTGAGAGAACATATTGAAACAGAACAAAGTGATTTAGTCTTTTCTTTTAAACCTTTATTATCTTAGCTATTAGCCTGTAAATGAAGTGTTATCTAAGTTCATTTATAATCTAAGAACCGTTATCTTACCTCATACATAAGCTAAGAGCTGTTATCTCAGCCTGTAAATGAGGTTGTCTTAGCGAGGCTCATTTCAGATCCCAGCTCTGTCTAGAGTACACTACCAAGCCTCAGGATGCCACCCAAAACAGTCGACTAGCGCCCAAGAACCTATTTACTGCTAATTGAACAGGAGGCAGCAAGTGTAAGGAGATTTGCCTTTACGTCTCTACCCACCCGAGGCTGAACCTGGGTCTTCCGGTTGTAAGTAGGAGGTAATACTGAGCTACAGGCCACATTAGCTTCATATGTCCTCGTACCATCCCCCTCGTACCATCCCCCTCGTAATATCCCCCTTTCCCCTCTCGTTTTTTCGCCTCCCCTCGGTTCCCTTGCTAAAACGCTAGCCTAGATACTAAAGTCATTTGGCAAAGTTCAGTCAAGCAATTCCAACTTGGTGGTCAGTTAATGGTCCCCAGACACGTCCGCTCCCCCATTACCCCACCATCTAGCCTGGATTCTCCATCCCCCATGAAACTCCCAATCCCGCCCACCTTGGGTAGTCTAGCTAACCAACCTATGTCCCACCTGCCTAAGAAGCCCCACTCTCTCCCGGTTATCTAACACACTGTCCCAACCATAACTTCCTACCTTCTCGCTCATCCAACCCTCACGCCCACCCACCACCCATTATCACTCCCCCCCTCCTCTTAGAATCCCGAGAGATGGCAATTCCCAAGTATTAATAACTGGAGCTCTCCTGGAAGGAAACCTTTGAAGTTGCTGTAGCTACTGAACCTTTAATGGAATATTTTACGATATCCTCACTGCACTACTGAAGTCTCCCAGCTCAGACTGACACATTTAAATACTATGTATGCAAGCCATTCCATGTGACGTAACCCGACAAGGAAACTGTGCAGTGTGGGTACAAAAGCTGTCATACAGAATGGAGTGAAGCACACTGCCACAGCAACCTACCGGAATGAGATATGGGAGGAAGTGCAAAATATAACCAGTGAAAAGCAGGGGCACCGTGGGCACAATACGAAAACACTATCAACATCCGTGGCCCCAGACTATTCAACATCTTACCAGAAAATATCAAACACTTCGTAAGGAAACTCGCCAAGTGCTGATCAACCAGACTGTGATGAATGTGTGGGCCAGCAGGCTGCCAGTAGCAACAGCCTGGTTAACCAGAAAAAAACACCAAACAAGCCTGGCCCAAGACCCAAAAATGAAGAAAGAGAATTTCACAGGCATGCTCATCTCAGACAGTGAACCACAGCATGTAAAGCAAAACAAACAAGCTCTGACACAGGCTCTGCACACAGGTTTCAATCTTATCTGAACAACGAAACAAACTGTGAAAGTCATTATAGAATCAGAACTCTTACTATAATGAAAGGTTCCACAAGGAAGTATCCTGGGCTCCCTACTCTTCTTGTGCTATGAAAATAACATGCCCACTAATGTTAAATGACATGACCACTAATGTTAAATGACATGACCATCAGTTTTAAATGCAATGTTTTATATACAGATGATAGTGTTCTCAGTCTCACTATGTAACTATCATTGAATAGTATACCAGCACACTGCAGATGCATCCAGGTTTGCTTAATCCTTTTTTTACCTCCATTTTCTTGTTAGATCAGAGTACCATGACGAAGATTACCTGGAGATTACCTGGAGAGAGTTCCGGGGGTCAACGTCCCCGCGGCCCGGTCTGTGACCAGGCCTCCTTAGGTCAGTGTCCCAGGATGCGACCCACACCAGTCGACTAACACCCAGGTACCCATTTTACTGATGGGGAACATAGACAACAGGTGGAAAGAAACACGTCCAAAGTTTCTACTCTGGCTGGGAATCGAACCCAGGCCCACCGTGTGAAGCGAGAGCGTTAACCACCAGGCCACAAGAGCCCTGGTGCACGATATTATATAAGAACCAGACACAGGGTCTTGCGTGCCTAAGCTGGTAGGTAGTGCGCCTGTCTATAGAGGAACTTAACTAGCATTCACTGTTTCTATTACGTCAATACAAATATAAAACAGCAAGTGGTAACAGTGAAAGATAACTAAAGTATATAATGAACTAAAGCGAATTTCAGCTAAGTTTCCACAGTACAACGTGGGTAACTACCTGCTAATACCCGTGTCAGAAAACAGCCCAAAAGGAGCTAAACTTTCACACAAAGACCTCAGCGATGAAACAACCCAAGTAGCTGGACAAACTGACACGACAATATAGTTCCATCTCTTCTGGGAACCATCATGTCTAATTAGGTCTTCTTTTCCCCATTCTTCCAAGACCTGTTAGGTCCAACTAGAAAGCCCCATTCTTGTAAAACTTATGATACTCACCCTTCGGGCACAATTCTCGAGGATGATGTAGACGTTGGCATCATCTTCGAAGTAGTGGTGGAAGCGGACGACGTGGCGATGCCGCAGATGTCTGTGGACTTCGATCTCTCGCGCGATCTGTGGGTAAGAAAAAAGAGTTAAGTCACCCTGGTGGAAGGAAAAGGAGAAGTCAAAACTTAAGTTGAACAAAGGTCATACTGGCATAGAGCAGGGAAGAGGTCAATAGTCGTCAAACTAGGTCACCTGCAGCCATCTACTGTGAGCAAACGTCAGTGCCACACAGAGTACCATCTTTCACCGTCACTAACACAAGCAAACCATAACATCTTGTATATCACAACCAACCCAGCCAACTATCACAGCCACACTAAGCCCTCCACAATTACCCGCAACCAAGTCATCCAAAATCCTTTAAAGAGCCACAACTAAACCATGCCACACACTTACCACATGGCTCATATCTCCATGAAACACACAACCCACAAACTCCTACAATTCCTCACGTCATTTCCACAAATCCCAACAGCCCACAAGATCCTACAATTGCTCACAGCATCCCTCAACCACGCGAGGCAGCAGAGCAACATTAGCAACTTGATCCTTCAGTAGTGCCATCAATTTATACTCGGTTTCGCGAGCTTAGGACACACACGTCGCCCCAAATGTTTGGGGTAGACCCATAGTGTGTTTGTGTAAACGTGAAAGCCCCCTCCCTGATTAACATAAATGGAGAAAATGCATAAAATTCACAATGGAAATGAGGGGGGGGGAGAAATCAGACGACGGGGATATAGAAGAGAGAAGGGGGAGGCAGACAGCACAGGGTAAGGAAGGAAAGGGGAAAGCAGAGAACATACGGTAAGGAAGGGAAGAGAATGGTAAATAGCAAGTGTAGTGCAAGTGCAACCGATAGATGCAAGTGCATCTATCGGTTACAAATGCATATACCAACTCGCGTTTCCTGGTAGGTACGTTTTGTGGGCAAAGAGAAGTTATTGTGGGGAAAGAGTTCTCTTAGAGCGCTCTCACTCGCTCTGAGTTAAGTAAGAAAGTTGAACAATACTTCATGAACGAGCTGAAATCAGCAGCGTTAGATCTTGTGGAGTGAAGGTAGAAGAGATTAATCCAAGGTTGCATGTAAACCTTTAGCCATTAAGTGTAGATGGTAACCATTAAGTATAGACGGTAGCCATTAAGTGTAGACGGCAGCTGCTAGTAGTAGCAGCAGCAGTAATAGTAGTGGCAGCGGCGCTGCTGCTGCTACTACTACTACTACTACTACTAGTGCTGCTGCTACGACTGATATTACTAGTGTTGCCGCTACTGGTCTTGGCAGTGATGCTAGAGTATTGCTGCTGTTGTTACTGCCAGCACCTCTGCTGCTGTTAACAGCAGGGGTGCTAGTAGTGCTGCTGGTGCTACTGCTCGGCAGACAGCAGCGGGGGCGTTGGTGTAGCCAGAGGGACAAGGGCGGAGGCCCCAATCTAGTGCTAACCTGCCAGGATCACCAGGTAGCACCCCCTCCCTCCTACACATAGCCACGTGCTAAGGTGGCGAAAGTCTTCACTCAAAATAGCTGCCTTCGCCACTGCCTGTGCACATAAGTTCCTTCTCCGGGAGAAGGACCCGGTGTGCCACTCCTGCACTTTTTGCATTATAATGTTACCTGGCGCAAAATGAGCCAAGGTGAGAGACACGGTGACCTGAAACAAACCGTGCCAGGGTGAACAGAGCACTCGGGTCTGAACAACTGGTACCTCACTATGGCCGGCAATCAGGACGAGAGTAGTGATAAAAGGCCTCGAGCTTCACAATCAGCACCGAGTACTCCCTTGGTAACTGAGCTCAACACGGGTCCTCAGCAAGGTTCTAATTTATTCACAACACCAGAATCTTTCTGCTTATTCAGCGCATTAAACATATAGCTACGAACATCGCTAAATTCACACCACCACCACCTTGCCACAGTATTGTTGACACTTTTACAACTACGTCAGTAAACTGATCGAGTCTGGTTTATTACAGACTTAAGTAAGTTTATTTAGGTACATATATACATACAGTTACACATATCGTACGTAAGTAACATGTGTAAATTACCTGGGATAACAGAAAACAGTCGAAGTGACTTGTTTCCATTGAGGTCGTTGGAGGTTCTCAACGTGTGGTCCATTGACCCATGGTTAAGGCCGCGAGTTGTTCGAAAGTGTTAACGAGACTTCGTATCCAACATTACTTCCCAAGTCGTTCTGCAGCTCTATTAATGGAGTTTAAAATTACAACTATGTGAAGGTCGGCGATTTTTTTTTAGTTAGGGGAAAATATCATGCTGGAAAATGCTCAATAACCCACATGGAGATAAACTCACCAGAATGATTGATCTACATTTCGATCCCCTTCTGGGATCCTCATCTCCTGAAGAGGATCCCTGAAGGGGATCGAAATGTACAGATCAATCAATCTTCTGTGTTTGTCACCATGTGGGTTATTACTGAGCATTGACAAGTGCTCACTATACTTCAGGTATCCATGCTGGAAAAAGACTAACCATACCACGGGCGGGGATAGAACCCACGATCAGTCTCAAAACTCCAGACCGTCGCGCTAGCCACTAGACCAGCTAGCCACAATAAGATTCGTCCAACTAGGTATATTTCTACACCATAGGAAGGTTAGCATTGGCGCCACTGTGACCACAAATGCAAGTTTTTACAGACGAATCTCCAGCTAGCATGGCCGTGACGAACTCTAGCTCAAGTCCCCTCAAACCCGTCAACATGACTCACGAAATCGTAATGACACGATTGCAATCGTGTCATTACGATTTCGTGAGTCCTGTGAGAGAGTGCCACGTCCCTCGCTTCACTTCAGCGTGTGGGTGATGGACTTTCTACAGTATGTACACACGTCGATGCGGAGAGATTTCTTGTGCTTGAAGGTGGTCCCACGAGCTTGGAGTTAGATGATATACCGTAAGTATGCGAGTAAAAGTTTAGTTTATCTCCTGGGTCTCATATATCTCCCTTGCCTTTAAAGATGAGAGGACAAAACAGAATTGTAGATACGAGCACAAGTCCTTCCCCACCCCAGCTAAGTCAGTCTATCCCCCCCACTCCATGTACGCTAGTCTATCCCTCAACCCTCATTCCCACTGAGGCCAATCCATCCCCCACCCCAATCCTGTACTCCCAGTCCTTCCTCCACTTCCCATGTAGGTCAATCCATTCCCCACCCACACACAAGGCTAGTCATTTTCCTCCTTTCCTCCGCCTACCCTCTCCCCCACACGGACACAAAATAGGAGACAACATGAGTGAGAGGGATTGGATATGAGTGGGATTTGCACACGAGTTAATAGGGTTATCAAAGCTTATTCCTTGGGTAACACTGAAAATGGGTAGGGCAAATATTTTTGCTAATGGGTTTGGGTTTGAGAATGCCCTGCCTAGTATGGGCCAGTAGGCCTCCTGCAGTGTTCTTCCTTTCTTATGTTCTTTAGGAGAACTACACAAATTATTCGGGTGAGCAAATTAGTGGCAGCAACAATTCAATATAAGTGTAAGGTCTTGAAATTTGTCACATGTCAAACCCAGACTGATGACCAGAACACTAGACTTGATATCCAGGGAAGACATGATCATAACATCCAACAGCAACAGCCTGGATGACAAGGCCCATGGCCAGGCTGCGGCTAGGGCGTGATGATTCCTGAAACCCTCTCTAGGTATACTCCAGGTATCAACGCCCCCGCGGCCCGGTCCGTGACCAGGCTAGTACTATACACAGTTTCAAGAGCAGATATGAGAAGGTCTTGCAGGCCTCATATCTACTCTTGCGGTCAGTACGAGTTAAGAGCCTCAGGCAAGGGGCCATGAACAGACTCCTGCAAACGTATCTACCTACCTAGAGGATGTTCCGGGGGTCAACGCCCCCGTGGCCCAGTCCTTGACCAGGCCTCCCGGTGGATCAGGGCCTAATCAACTAGGCTATTACTGCTGGCTGCACGTAGTCCAACGTACGAACCAAAGTCCGGCTGATCGGCGAGTACACAACCAATATACACTTCTAGGTAAGTACACAACCAACAAACATCTAGCAGATTACATAACCAATAAACACATCTAGGTTGAGTACACAACGAGCAAACACATCACTGATACGTTTATATAAATCAGAGAGAGAGGGAGATGATGTCAAGCAATTTTACTCTGGCTGTCAGACTGAACCCCCATAAATCAAGACAGAATCAGCATATCCAAGTCTGGTTGTGGAAACAGTGTCGGGGTAACCCTTTAGCGGGAGTGTGTGGGGGGTTTGTTAGGGGTGACAGAGGGGGGGGTAAAGAGAGGGGATGGAGGACTGAAGTGGAAGGGAGGGGGGTGAAGCAAAATGGTGAACAATACATTTTGGCGAGTCAGTAAAGCAACCATAAAAGTGGGGGTGAAGGTGGTGAGTAAGGGGTGACGCCTCACCTCACTCACCGCTCAATACCGGTCACCTCAGACAGGTGCAGAGACTACACAATAAGCAAACTTAAGATTCGCACCTTTCATATCTGACACTGTCCCCGGTAAGAAGATAACTTTAGGCCCTGATCCATCGGGAGGCCTGGTCATGGACCGGGCCGCGGGGGCGTTGATCCCCGGAATAACCTCCAGGTAACCTCCAGGTAGTTACTTCGTCCTTATGAGATGAAGTTTGTCTAATATTTTACTACTAATAATATCAGATCTTTTCTTCAAGTAACGCAACACTTACAAGAGAAATAACTGACTAGATAAATAGAACAAAACAAGGGATTGCAAACCAATTATGATACTCTTCAGGTTCTTATTCTCTCTAGGCTGGAATATTGCTGTGTACTAACAGCTCGATGTAGGCGAAACAGCTGAGCTGGGAAACGTACAGAGAACCTTCACAGTTTGTAAAAAAGAGTCAAGCACCTAAATTACTGGGAGCACTTGAAGTCCCCAAAACTGTGCTCCTTAGAACGCAGGCGAGAAAGATGCAATCTAATCTACGCCTGGAAGATAATGGCGGGATTGGTCCAAAACCTACATACCGGAATTACAGCTTATGAAGAGGCTTGGCAGGTAGTGCTGGATACTTCCAATGAA